TGTTGAGCTGGGAGTGCAAGAGTCCTGGAGCCACCAAAAAAGCGGTGCCCAAAAGGGTTGGTCCCTTGGCAGAGTGATGACCGTGTTTTTCTGGGACAGCTGGGGAGACCTGAGGTCTTACATCCACCCGGGGCTGAGGGCTCTTTGCACCCAAGCTGAGGTCTAGGAGCTGGTTTTTTGGAAAATACAGTTTTAGTACATCTTTACACAGTTAAATGGAGGTTTTGTGGTTTGTTGTGCTTGATTTAGATGCCTATATCCAATATTCCACCTAAGGTCTCTGTATTTTTTATGGATTATTTTTTTAAGTAACAAGTGTTTGTGGGTAAGGGTAGCCTGATTGAATTTTTCAGTGTTTTTTATTAGCTATGTCTGAAGTGCAGGTTTGTTATAAAAATAGTACGTCTGATACTTGTGTTTAAAGTCCTTCCTATGAGAACATGGTAATGAAAGACTGGGCTTCTTTCCAGTACATATTCACGTTCCAAATCTGAAGTGGCTTTGTAGAAAAAGAATTTCCATGAATTCTCCATATCCACTAACACCTAGGAAACAAAGTAACAAATAGAAACCACCAATTTCCATAATTTTTAAGACTGTAAAATTAGAAATAAAGATAGGATGCATTTGAAATGAAAATGAAAAGATAATTTAAACAAAATATCTGCTAAATCTCTTTGGAATAATATAATTATTACTTACCTTAGATACCAGCTGGAAAGAATTACAGAGAAAGGGTTTTTTTATTTTTTTCTTTTCTTTGTTGTGTAGTGTCACTTGCAGGGGAAGCCTACAACAAGCAAATTGAAACAGTAAGAAGGAGCTAAAATATCTAATTAATTTTTTAAAATATTTGTTATCTCTTTGTACTTTAGGAAAACACACACTGTTAGAATCCTGATTTTATAGTCAGTGTGGAAAGTCCACTTGCATCTGCAAGGAAAAGTACGTTTAGATCGCATAGTTACGTGTATAGTATAGCAAAAATAGGAGTCTGTTATAGGTCTCAGTTTCAGAGGTTTAAATCTCGGAAAATAATTTCTTAAACAAAAGCAAATTATCTTAAAGAGTTTCCAGTCCAGTTCTGGAAATATATTTACATAAACATTCAATTTGTGGCTGGCAGGTTTTTTTATTGTAAGAAGTAAAAAGTGTGCATCTTAGGAAACCTAATTATTGCAAAAGCTGCTGTAATACTGCAATTCTGGGGTCAGTTCTCCTAAGTTCAGTTCAGAGAAGTGTTCCTATTCCCAAATCATTTATTACTTAAGAACCATCAAAACTGGTAGAAAGTTTTTCACCGCAAGAATTCTCGCTCGCATGCATGGTTGTGAGAAAAAGACACAAAGTAGCCTGAATACAGACTGCTCCGCTCCCAGTCCTGAACCAATGCAGCTTCCATCACTCCCAGTGCTCCAGTTACTCTGCTTTGTAGTTACCGCCCTTTCCTTGGGTTTATATTTGGGCACTATATTATTTGCTGAAAATCCCACCTTCTTTAAAATTCTTTTCACGTACCTAAGCCTTAGTTTCTGCTGTTGTGCAAATAACTATGAAAACACAGACTGAATCTAAACAAATACCTCTTCAAGTCAGTAAACAACCGAAAATTATAGTTGCGAAATGTGAACGTTTACACTTTCTACTTCATTTGTTTTTTAGAAACAGTAAAATGCGTCAGATACCCTCTACACACCAAATCTTCTGGTTTCTCCTCTGACATGAGCAATGTACGTCTTCATTGTAAAGATTTGACACTATAAAAAGCGGTTTTGAGTTTCAAACTGAGGATACAGGGAGGGTATTATAAGTTTAATTCCGTGTAGAAATTATATGTTTGATGGAACATCTGTGTGAAACAGCCTGGGATCCTAAGAAAACAAAGGTTTACTTATTCTTCCCCTCTTCTGTTTTCAATAGTGCTAAGCATTATTTCAGGCACATTGCTGTCCTTTACCTGTTTTCTGTGATAAATTTTCCTCATGGTTTGTGAAAACGGGTGGTTCCCAGAGAGAGCGAGCCTCAGATGCCCTCACTGATGGACAAGTTACAAAAATATCTCGGACCCGTTATTTTGCATGAGAGTCAGAGAACGTGGGAGCAAGCACCATGGGAGGCTTCATCACAACTTCTGCTGTTTATGGAAATATTTTTAAGTTAAAGACTGTTCCGTTCTTTAATTGAAGCTCTAAGAAAATGTACATTTTGCCAGGATGGAGCCCCCAAAGTCCAATTAGATATCAAAAAGAAAGCTGTTCAGCATGAGCTCCTGCAATTAGCAAGAGTTGGGATGTAAATCCAGCTCGTCGGATCAGGGACTTGAAACTTTTCCTCGGTGACACAGAAATTAGAGGATGCAGGAGGAACTGAGGTTTGGGAACAGGGAACACAGCGCAGGGGACACAAGCACCGGCACAAAGACCCTGACTTTTTGACAAATGGTGGTGTGTTTCCAGTGCAGTCCAGTTTAGGACTTCTGCAAATTGGGGATTTCTGTGTGGATTGGAAACAATTTCTGTGCTGTCCACACGTCCGTAATCGAAATAGAGGAGACTGAAGTATTTCTCCCTGCTGACCCTTTCTGACAGTTTTTCTTGCCTATAAAATAATGATGCTGGTTGGGTGGGGGAAGAGGGAAAGATGGCTTCTTTTTTTTTTCCTTCTTTTTTTTTCCTCCCCCAAGGCTGATACTGATTAACTGTAAAAGACAAACCCAGTAGACGTAGGTTTTTCGATAGAGTTTATCCGTGTGCCATCTGCTGGTGATGCAAATCAAGGGAACGTTTCAAAGTCGTCTGGTTTTCCTGTGGCGCTGAACAGACGCTTCTCCAGCTGAAGACAGTAAAAGCAACAGGTTTCTGAGCGTTTCTGATCATCTTTACCCCAGGGCAAACTCATTTAAGTCACCTGAAGAGAATCAACTCTAATTATAACAATGTCTCTGCTTTTCTAAGATGCCCGTGCTTACCTTTCTGTGATTCTGTCAGATAAAAACAAGTTAGAGATGATGTTGTATTTATCTATCAGTATCACACGTGTCTCCTTCTGGAATTATAACCTAGCTCTGAAATGCAGAAAATACTGGAATATTTAGCTTATTTTGAGCAACTGAATGAAACCCTTCTGATTCTCAGGTGTCTGCTACAATCCAGATTTCTGGCATATACATGGAGGGGGGAAAGTTATCATGAGGACAAACCTTTATCAACTGAAATGTTATAATCTAACATTCAAGTCCTCCCAAAGACTTCATTTGGTAAACGTGTGAACGTTGTCACTTCAGGAGGTCCTGGGTGTCTGGGTGGACTGTAAATACCACTCACGTGTAATAGTGTATGGTAGAGAAATACTTAAACAGCAAAGCAAGCCATTATTGACAAAGATTTGCAGCCATTGTGGAGACAGTCATTCTAAATCTAATAAATTCTTGCTGTATGTTTGGAATTTAAATATTTTAAAAATAATTTAGCATGGTTTGTCCCTATGTATGTTTAAATCATAAATAGAGATTAGGAAGAATTGTACCACAAGGGAAATTTAAAATGAGCCATTTGAAATTGATACAAACAAGCAGGAGTGTTGTCCTTTGGCTCTAAAGAAAACAGTATAAAGATAAAACAGTTACAGGTCAGGGCTGAAAAATCTGCAATAGCATATTTAATTTTTTTTTTCCTTCCTAAAGCTGGTCTGGGAACTTCATAGCAAAGAGTAGTGGGAGCATGATTATTGCAGACACCCCCTCTAGTACTGTAAAGCCACAGAAGTCCATACTGTGTAAAGGCTGCCTTTTCTAATTTTCTAATTCAAAATTGCCTTGATATTTCTTAGGTTTCATAAAAGTGGGGATTGAGTTTATTGATCCAGATTTAGTGTAATTTCACAACAAGGTCCTGAGAAAGTACTCTGCAAATTTCCACCTATGCTGGCGATTTTAATTTTGTTGCTTCCCAAACTAATCCTAGTCACTTGAAATTTATACAGTCTTTTTATGAAGCCTTTGGGGAAATGATACTAAAACATTATTAAAGGAACGATTTGTTTTGCTGCAATCTCTACTAATTAATAGTCAGGCAGCGTGTTAACCATCTTGTGCAACATGCTGTTGCACTTAAAGTAGAGCTACAGAGTGTAGTAGTTACATCTGTAATTGCAGCAGTACTTTAATAGTCATTATATCCCAGTGGGAAATTGGAAAAAAACAACTGGAAAGCCAGGTGCTGGGAATGCAGGAGGTAAGAAGCCACGAGAGGGAGAATTTAAGGGGCTTTTAACGTGTGTGTGGAACAGCTTCTTGCGCTACCCAGTCAGTTTGTAATGATGTGAACCTTTGTTGACTCAGCTGAAGGCCACTGAGAAGAGATTCCCAATCATCCTGGGCAGGTCCAGGTCCCTTCTTCATCTGCTGGAGGTGGCCATTGAGTTACTGCCCCAGAGCTCTGGTGCCTCCGATTGCTAGGAGACGCTTGCGTGGCAGATTGCAGATCACAGGCTCCTCAACTGACAGATGAGAAGTAGGATGGGAATGAGAAGACCATATGGACCTTGATAGTAATAATGAATTTGTAGAAATTGGCTGCACTGATTTATAATTGATGTTAAATAGCGGTGTGTTTACTCTGTTAAAGAAAAATTGTTTATTTTGCTTTACGTTTTCAGCAGGGTCTTGGAAACCTTAAAGGAATGCTTTGCATACACTGGTATTTGTAGTAATAGGATATTGCCTGTTAAAATTTGCTCTAAAAATGGTGCACATTCTTAATTCAGGTGCAGATTTTTAAATTGTAGGTTGCATTACAGGTGTATTATCTTAGTGTTTAGATTGTTACTTAACTACACCATTATGCTTCAGTAGTAGTATAACATTTAAATGTGATTTTTTTTCTCTATGAAGAAGATCCACTACATTCGCGAGGGGGTAAGACTCTCTGCTTTATCTTGTCTGTCCAAATATGCGTTTTCTTGTTTCTAACATTTGTTTTGTTTTGTTTCATACTTTATTAAAGTGAGTGAATACCCAGCTGTTGGCATTCCCAGATGTGGTCCAGCAAGTCCATTTAAAGGACACTTGAGTACCAAGAGTAATGGTAAGTAATGCATGTGCTTTTATCCGAAGGTTGATGTGGTTCCTTTTATGTCAATTCATTGATTTTATTATTAAAATGTTTTTTATAATTAAAATTTTTGCATTGAGCTCAATTGGTAAAGTTTAAAAGTACTTAGATTTAGTGTTGATTACTGAAAATACTTTTGAGAAGTGAGTTTTGCCTCGCCTGTACTGCTAGCTAGGAACAGTTCGCAAGATAGCCAGATAGATAGAGATGTCACATCTATATTAGCTGGGATATAGATATGGTTACTACTTTAAAGAACCCTTGAGGTTAAACATACTTCCTTACAGTCAGTAGTTTACAAGAGCTGGTGTGTGTTTCTGTGCCATATTGCCACCTCAAACCCTTTTTTCAAAAGATGACAGAATGGAGAAACAGGGAGTTTCCATGCTGAAGTTTTCATAGTCCAACTTCAGCCACTTCTGTAGCTATTGATTAATGGCTCAGTGAGGAAAAAAAGGAGAGAGAAAGACGTGATGTGATAGTAGCTGCTAAATAAAAATGCCTGCTATTGGGCAAAGAAGTAAAGCACACAGTAATTTAAAGTTTGTGGCTTTGAAGTGCGGTTAATAACTGTTCAAAATTTGAGCATTCTTGTGCCTGCCTGTGTAATGTTTAAATGTATTTTAATCTTAACAGCTTTTTGCATTGACTCCTCCCGAAGTCTAACCAGCCAGTACCTGATCAGAGATCACATGGTGTTTCATTATAACAAAATCCTTTCAGCCAAAGGTAAGAATGTGCATGCATGAATGAACTTCCTCCTCCCAGATTTACGTCATTCTTTCAGAATAGGCTTATATCAAGGGAATGAATTGGATTGTAGGAAGTACAGTTCTCTTTCGTACTCAGGCTGATGCAGCCAGGAAGTATGGCTGCTACTTAATAATACTTTTGTATTTAATATCTGCTTTAAAGAGTGATACACTGGGGCTTTGGGTTCTGCCAGGGTCCAGCCTCACAAATATATGGTCATCTCTCTACCATGTAACATGCTCAGTATCCTCAGGTGTGCATTAAATGCTATCAGCACAAAGTGTAGAGAAACCTTTTGTAAGAAATTTTTATTTAAATGATGATTCTTTCTCCAAATATGTATTTCACTTTAACGTCTTTATCTTAAAAATTCTCTTACTGTATTAATATCAATCTTATACTTTGAATACACAGTAACAAGCATATTTTAAAATAGAGGAAAATTAATGTTCACTAATTAAATTAGTCTTTTTTCTGTGTTGGTTTATCACTTTTTTTCTAGCCATCACAAATACTAAATAAATACTAAGTCACATTTATGTTTTCAGCAGCCGTAGACTGTTCAGTGCCCAAAAGTAGGTTGACCAGCATCAAACGTAAGTATTTGTGATACATTTATTCTGCAAAAGTTTCTGTAAAACTAAGCAAAATAAAAGAGCCAGTGGAATAGAAGAGTAACAATAGAATATAACCCTTAATAAAGCATTCATGTATCTCCTGGTTCTTCAGCTTTCATATACTGCTCCAGCTGTTTGTAGGAATCTGCAGTGAATGTAATGTGAGAGAGATGGACCTAGTCTGTTCTAGTGATTAGTTGTACTTAGGATTACAATTAATTTTGCTTAGGATTCTTTTCATCCACACAGTTAATGGAGCATGTAAGGAGAATTTCAGCATTTTCTCTCTCCTTTATTCTGATACAATGTGAGCTTGAAGAGAGCTTAGTAGTACAAGGTCAAGAGGAATTTTGGGCATGTGGGCACCTGGGGACTGGAACTGAAACTTCTGGTTCCATTTCTCAGAAAACAGAGCCAGGATTAAACCACAGTGACTTTTTGGGGGAGTTGTCTCATTTCTTTATGCTCTTTAAAGATATTGGTACTGTAACCTTGCTTCATAGTGCTAGCTGAAGAGCAGTACTTTCAAATAATTGATTTATAGAATATTAAATGAAGCGTATTAGTCAAAGGGGATAAATAGCAGCTGCTTGTTAAAATAACAAAGGTATATTTCATTTATCTATCTGTCTCTTTCACTAATGCAATTAAAGGATGTTCTTTTTCCTCCAATTCAATATTTAGTTACAACTGCTGAGGTACGGGAAAAAATTAAAGTATTCTTTTAGGATGGAAAGATAAATCTTCTGACGACAGAACGTTTTGTGGCAGAAAGACTCAATTGCATTATAATTTTTTCAGTATTTCTGCATAATGGGTTGAGACTGAATTAAGCAATAAGCTGCACCAGGATCAAGGATGCTGTATGTTGGCTTGCCTTTTCCTGCTTTCAAAAGGTGCAGCACAAGCAGCAAGAGTATTGCAGGGGTATCTAGGTTCTGCAGATTGCAGCAGGAATTTCAGAGCACCTGTTCTGCAGTCATCTGAAAAAAGTCATCTTCCTCATGCTCCAGCTCTACCAAGACTTGCTTTGAAACAAGCACGAAAATGTAGGGTTGGTGTAAGAAGAAAATTGACACCTACGTGTTTGTGTAATAAAAACCTCTTTCTGCATCTGCTAGAATCTTCCTTAGGTTCCCTAATTACGATGACTCTTCCACACCTTTTCAGGTCTTGGGTCTTTCTCTACACCAACAAACGCCCATTTATTTTAGAGTCTGCTGTCTTTACGGATAAAATGCTTCAGAGCTGATAGCTTGTGAGTTTAACATCAGAATGAGTTTCCCTGAATGATGAGTTCATTTTGGGAGGCAGCGACAGTGCCTTAACCTTAACAGCTAATTGTCATGACACTGGTAGGTGTGCTCTGTAGCGAGGAAATTTCCATTTCAGATGGCAGGGCTTTGTGCAATATGTTTCTCTTTCAGTTCATCTTACTCAGACGGGGTGTCTGACACTGTCACTCTGACCTGCTCACAGACAGAACCTTAATCTCCTGTGTAGGGTGTGACAGAAACATTTCACCTCTGTTGCTGCCTTTGTTTTTACCCATCTGTTTGATAAAATTGGTACACTAAATCCTCACTAAATTGCGCTTTCACCTGTTTTCAAACTGGGCTGGAAAAAGCTGCTGCTGTGTTTTATCTTATTAGAACACTCATGTAACCATCACAGCCCTACAAGATGTTTCTTGTTCACAAAAGAAAAAAAAATAAAGCTAGCAAAAAAAAAAAAGCCTTTGATTTTAAAAAGAAAATCCTTGATTTATCCACTGTTAGTCTAGCCTAAGGCTTGGGAGTGCTAATTGTTACTTAGCTGAAATTGATTATATTCCCGGAGCTAGCTCATAAAGTGAAGCAGAGCATCACAGCTCAAGGATTGGGATCCTACTCAGTAGCACAGGATTCATTTGGAAGAAATGTTGGACTGGCTTCTCGGTCTCCCAGAGCTGAGGATCCGCTGTGATTAGAGCTTTTTATCCTTAGATTTAGCAATGTTCTAAAGTACAGCTTGTTTGCTTGATGTTCTGCACTGAGAGGAATTGTGCAATTATAAAGTGACAATAAATTTGCCATTTTTTAAGATCTGTTTAACAAAGCAATAAATAATGTTGTATTTTTTTTCCATAAAAGTGCCTTCTCAGGGCAGTATTATGTCTCTGCCCCAGTTTTGAGGTTTTATTTCGTGAAGTGCTTCATGTTCTCTATTAAAAATGAGAGTGCTGAGTGAAAAGATAGAAAGCAAAGTAATAAAGCAAACTTATATAGACAATATATTTTTATTAGAATATGCCTCTATGTGCTGTTTTTATTTTGCAATGCTGAAAAATGTTACCGATTACATTTTCATCTTAAATTGTCTGCCTAAAATGCTACAAATACTTATTTTTCTTGCAGTACAAGATGCCCATTCTTTTTTCTGCAAGAG